CAGGTTGTGCACTTAGCATATCCAGCTTTTGGCTTTCACAATTAAATGAATAATGAATAAGGTTATGTTAAAAGCTGCATTAAGCCGTTTTTACAGTCATATGGATAAGTTTCATCTCATTACTGTTGATGAAAGCTTATATTGATCATGAAAATCAAACAGTTGCTTTTGAATTATCATTCAGTTACCCAACAGCTGGCTGGCACTGGAATCAATAAGTCCGAAGAGACCTATCTACATGACCAAGCAGGCAGCAACGCATGGTCTTGCCTTTCATCAACAAAACATAATCTGCCACCGAAAAATCAAATCTTTAATTAAAGGTCTCACAAACTATTGGCACTTGTGGAAAGTCCTACATATGACTTCCACATTCTGTTGTCGACGAATGTGAAGAGATGAAGAAACGGATCATCTTATATATATTTCAAATTTAAGGCCCCATATAACTTGGCCAACAAGCATCAGCACATGACTTTGCCTTTGGTAGTTAGTGACAAAAATTTTAACTCCAACTCAATCTCTGTCTCCAGCCTCTTATATAAATATTCCACCTTCCATGAACCTATTCAGCTATCAAAGGCCTCTAGATATTTACTTTACTTTCTTGCTTTCAGTCTTCGGAGAAAAGAACAATGCTCAACGTTAAGAAACTCATCAAGATGGCCAGGAAATGGCAGAAGTTTGCGGCTATGCAGAGGAGGAGGATTTCACTTCCAAGAAATGTCAATGCTGCAAACAGTTATAGTACATCTTCATCTTTTACAGCCGGAAAAGGCCAGTTTGTTGTTTGCAAGTGATCAATGACGCTTTGTGATTCCATTGGCTTATCTGGAAAATGAGGTCATTTTGCAACTTCTAAACACGTCTGAAGAAGAGTTGGGGTTGACAAGTGGCGGCCCTATTACATTACCATGTGATTTAGTCATCATGGACTACATCATTTCACTAATCAAGAAAGGTGCAGCTGCTGGAGATCTTCACAAAGTATTGCTCCTCTCAGTTACTTCATGTTGTTGTTCAACTTCTTCTTTACACCAAGAATGGGGAAACCGGCAGCTTCTTGTTTATTGATTCATTATCATTAAGTTTTGTAAATGACATCTCAAAATAGATTGTATAGCAATTGAAAAATAGGCATTTAAAGAAGTGTATTACAGTTGGATAGAGCTTTATAAAAAATTTAACCTGATTTATTGATCTCAATTTTTCAATTTGATGATTTAGAACTTATAGATAAAATTTGCTTGTATGACCTTTTTAGTGCTATATGCACGGTTAAGTGACTATTCTGTTATAAACGAAAGAAACATGACTTTAATAGGTAATTTCGAATAGTTGAGTGACCATTTGCTAATGGACTCGAAGATCAAAGCGACATATATACAGCAAAATCCCTTCAGCTGTTTGTCTAATGCTAATGCATATGATGATCATAACTAATATTTAAATCAAGAAGTAAATAATAGAAGAATTGCACTAGTGTTGGTCCAAGAATGTTTCTTATACTATTAGTACAGATTAGCTATGAGCCTTTCACAATTCTTCTGTTTGTATGACTACTTAATTTCAATCAAAATAGATGAAAAACTGGCTAATAGTTTTAAACAATAAATTCCTAGTTCAAGCTGGCAAAATGTAAAGGCTGCTAATTTAATCACTTTAAGGTGTCCTTTGTCTAATTAACTTGCAGAGAATTAACTACTATGGTTAAAACTAACTTATATGGATAACTTCCATCCAAAGCAGTAGTGGTAATCTTGCTGGAACTTGTTAACATATTTATTCTCTCTTCATTAAACTCTACCTCATTCGGAGAGTAATTTGCATCGAGATATAACTCTCTTGCTCTTTGACATAATACTCCTCATTTTTTGAAAGTTCAAAAAAGATAACTTAATGTTACTATAGCATATACCACTGAACTTTTCTTAAACTTATATATATTCAATATATTATAACATATTATTATATATTTTAATTATACTAGTCTTAGAGTACCCGCTTTGCACGTATACCCTTATATAGTTTCAAAAACTTACATAAATATTAATATTAAACAATGTGTTTAAGTTTTTTATTTAATAAAAAGATATATAAAATAGTATAAGTTTTTGAAAATAGTAATATTGATATCTATTTAGCTAGCTCAATAAAAGAAGAAATCATGCCCCACAGAACTCCTGATATGGCTGTGAATATCTTATGAATTTGTTGTTATTTTTGCCACTTAATACAAAAAACAAACAAGTAATACAAACATACTTTAATCACAAATCTTCAAAGATTTTTCAAAATAATAAAATTAAAAAAATTGAATATTTTGGTCTATGGAGATTTGCGAATGAAGAGGTTGACCCTTTAGCTTCTAGAAAAAGATTGGCAAGTGATATTATAATGTCTATGAATAATTAATGTTGAATTAATATTTATAACAAATAATTTAATATATTAAAAAATTATATGAAGTTGCCACTGGTCAGAATGAATGCAGAAAAAAAGAAAAATAACTAATGACATCTCATATAAAATACAAACTTATTGCTATAAGTTTGCATTTAGAATATATTTGTTGTCTACTAATTCATCCTTATTGCTATAATCTTGTATGTTTCCAATTTGAAGCTTAATATTATACAATAATCGATTTTTTCGTATCCCCCTGATAATAGGTGAATTTAACTATATTCAGGCCCTAAATAACCGCCTTCTTGCATAGTTTTAATAATAAAAGTGATAACAAAATGCTCTTATTAGTGCTTTTCATGATTTGCAGGTTATATATGACTAGGGAAGGCTGGGGAGCACTTTTGGAGTCAAAAAAATGAAGAAAGAGAGGACAACCGTGAAATGTCCCAAGTGAACCACGCAAAAACAGGCTGAAGAATCAGAAAAATGACTCTGCCGCGGTTCCACCGCGACCGCGGTAGAACCGCGGTGAAGGATGCTCGCGGACAAAAGGAGAATCAGAGGAGCTGTTTGGCCGCGGTTCCACCGCGACCGCGGCAGAACCGCGACAGGCGCAAGAAAAGTGCAGGGACTAAAGTGCAAACACGGGATTTTTAGCCCTAAAACCTATTTTAAACACTAGACTTCGCCCAAGAGAGGCATGTATTGATTTTTAGAGTATCTTGGCAAGAAAAACAATTGTGAGAGATCACCCAAAACATCTTTCTTCTTTTCTTTGATTTTGATTGCTAGTTTATGATGGATCTTATCTTAGTTTGTTTACCCATAGTTATGAGTAGCTAAATCTTTTGTCTAAGGTTTTGATGGAACCTATTGGGGGATGAACTTCTTGTTTATGTGAATACAAATTGCTAGTTTCAATCTTTATTTATTCAACTATGTTCTTGTTGTAGTTAATTGACAGGATCCTCAATTAGCTGTGCCTATTTAGTGTGCATAACTCGGGTTATTGTTGAATAACACCACTCCTAAAGTATAAGAGGAATTTATAACTGCGAGTTTAAAGGCGGGATTAGGGATAACGAAGCCTTGGGTGCAATCTTAAGTGAATTGTGTTAATTAAAGCTAGCTAGTGTATCTCGGGAGAGTGCAATAGTATATTACTGTGATTACTCGGGAGAGATTTATGGTAAGACGAGCGTTCATGATTGATAGAGAAGTGTTGGTACATTTGTATGAAGCATAAACAGAAGGGATTCCATCAATAGGGGAAATCTTTACCTTAGCTTTATCTCATCATTGTTTACAAC